GATTTTTTTCGGAGTAATATACAGTTTTTGGTCCGAAATTTGTTTGTCGCGACCTTTTTAAATTTTTTATACATGCATATCGTCGCCTGGGTAAAAGATTGTCGTATGTTAATTTCGGCAGGTTGTGGGAAATCGCGATTGAAGTCTGGGATGCAATTTCTCAAAAACGCGAAGATAGATGTTCGCCAAAGTCTCTGAAAATGTTACTAGTTCACAAAATTCTTAAATTATTTAATTTTTAATGTTTATTGTAAATTAGTTTTCGAGTTTATGAAGGATTTTCTTTAGTAAAATTTGGTCGTAAGCGTCATTTGTCCACAATTTGGCAGCCACTTTGTATAAAATACGACAAAATGTGATCAAAATTTCTACCAAATTAACGACACTTTTTACTCAATATCTTGGAAACTAAAGGAGATATCCAAAAATTGAGAACGCTATTTTTAAGATATTGATTAGTTTAATATGGCTGCATCACCAACTAAATTTTTACTCAATTATCGAAAAAGTTGTAGTCAATATCTCGTAAACTAAAGGAAATATCTAAAAACTGATAACACCAATCGAAAGACCTTATTTCAAAATATATGTATATCTGCGTCTAGAACTAAAAATCGTCAAAATGGCGCTTACGACAATCTTTTACCCAGGCGACGATATGTAAATATTTTATTTTTAAGAAAAGCTGTTTTAACTTCATAACATGTGGGTCAATTTCTGCTACAGCCACAGTATACTTAACTAAAAACTATTTTAAACTTACTATACGCGGGTGTCTCAAACTTTTTTAACCTTTTACCATTCAGGACCATAAGCGAAAAGTTGCTGTTTAGGGTAGAATAAATTAGGTCGAAAAATTTAATTTTCTTCTTAAAGCATTTAAATTTTAATTTATTTAAAAAAACTTAATAGCATACCGGCTGTTACTGTTATCGTTGACATTTCTTACATCCATTGTTTACAATTTTACTACATTTGGCCAGCGAATTAACAATAAATCCGAACCGACATATTAAGGATGATAAACTATGACTTCCACTTTGATAAACTAAAACAACTAGTGCAGACACCGATTGGAATGAGTGGAACGTGAGTTTTCAAGTAGTTTTCATCGAAAACTGGTTTTCGTTTGTCAGATTTTACATGGACGAAAACACAAGTTTTAGGTCGAAAACTAGTTTTAGCGACGAAAACATATTTTCGATGTCGGTCCGAACATGGTATAAAAATTTTAATTTTTTCCAAAATAGTTTTTTTTCATAATTTTTTGGTGAGAAAACCTAACTTCTTCCTAATGCAACGTATACGATTTTTTCAGATTCCCGAAAACTTTTGGGTAAGTATGTATGTACATACGGTGACTAAAAAACAAGTGTTCGCGTGTTGATTTTTTTAAACATTCACATTTTTTTCAAGTAAATTTTATTTTTCTATTTTCTAAGCCATATAAATATCAAGTTGCAAACTTCATACAAAATTTATGAAAATTCAACAAATGATCATCAAAATTTCGTGCTTTTTAGTCTGAATCTTTAAAACATCTGAATTTTAGTCGTAAGTTTCAACCGGCTAAACAATCTTTTTGATTTTTTAAAATTGTTTTTTTTGGCGATAACTTTTGCGTTTTTTTTTTTTTATACAACAATTGTAATTTACAAAAACTGGCGTTGATTTTTTCATAAAAAATTCATGCTTATATGGAATAAAGTGCAAAAATCCGTCAGCAAAAAACGAAATTCAAAAACCAAGGCAAGATTTTATAGAAAAATAACAAAAAAGATTAAACTTGAAAATCAATGTGTAAATTAAAAAAGAAAAATCAACACGTGAACACTTCTTTGGGTCACTGTAGTATTTATTTTACTATTTTTGCCAACAAAAATTACGTATTTCAATTTGAATTTAGAGCTTCTAAATTTATTTCGCATAACCAAACCAAATATTATTTTTTAATTCAAAAGTGCAAATTTTCATTGAAAATTCTTTACATACCTTCCATACCACATTTAGTTAGCTCAATTCATATATGTAAATAAATAATAAAAATTGACTTCCACTACATTACTTAGCAATTAAAAAAATCATATAAGCCTTAAAATGTAATTTTAGAAGGATAACGCAATTAATGCAATGCATTAAAATCAAAATAAATTAAAAAGTTAAAAAAAAAACTTGTTGAAATCACTTTCATTAATAAAAATGTTTGCATAATTTGTAATATATTATATAAAAAAGGCAACTTGTATTTTTACGAGTTGTTAAAACGTCGTCTGTGTATTCACTACAAAACTAGTTCTCCATTGTTGACAAAAATTACAAAAAATAATCGCGCAAAAACTAAAAAGTCAACTCGAGAATAGAAAAAAAAATAGTTAATAGTATCAAAAAAATCTCCTACAGCTGAAAGTTATAAAAAAATAATAGTTAAAAAAACTAGAAACATGTAACTTTTGTAAATTGAATTTTTTCCAAAAAACCGATTGAAGTTTAAGCGCAATAGCAACTATGAAAATCATATATGTATGAGAAAAATTTGTACACACCTGCATACTATCATTAAAATTAAAAAAAAAACACCCAAAAAAAATTATTTTATTTTAAGAATTTGGCACTTTAAGGGCGTAGTTAACACTGACAAGAGTTTGACTGTCGATTTTGATATTCACAAGGCTCAGTTAACGAAAGTTTAAACCAGCTTAAACTATTTTTTTTTTGTGGAACGAATTTCAAATTTGTATAGAAAAATATTAATTTTCATTTATTTTCCAACGATATGAATTTCCATAGTTAACTATGTGACTCTGAATATAAATTCATAGTTAAACTGTTGTTGGTAGTCAAGCTAACAATGCTTTAACTAAGATCTGTGAATCCGGCCCTACAACTGTGTAAATGAAAGTGGTGTCAGAAATATTCTTTATTTACTCAATTTTTCATGTAATATTTAAGAAATGAAACGAAACAAACTCAACAGTTTCAAGCGAACAACGTCAACTGCCTAAAAAAGATTTTTAAAAGATTTGTGAAATGAAGAAGTAAAGCAAAAAACAAAAAAAAAAAAAAAACTATGCAAGCATAAAAAATATTAGCAAAGCTAAGTATAGCAGTGGTAAATGGAGTAGAAAATTCTAGTTAAAGCTCATGAATTATGTATTTATAACTATAAAAATATATATACATAGTTATTTGATATTAAGTAGCGGAAGAAGTAGTGTTGGTAATGTTTGTGGTATTGTTAGGAGCAAGGGTGCCGTGGAAGGTTGTGGAATTTCGATGGTGTGGGGCATTCATGTTCAAACTGAAAAATATACTTGCATACCCTAAAAAAAAACAAAGTTTTCGGATGGGAGTTTTATGTCCTAAATAGCATTCTAAAGCTCAAGCACTATCTGGCTCCAAATTTCAACATTTTAACTTGAGTGTTAAATTTATAAACTCGAAAACGGTATAGAGATTGACCCAGTCATGTCGTACAAAATAACTGTTTTCATATCTCACCAAATAAATTTTCGAACACGAGTGTCTTCTTTTCCTAACTATCAAAATTCTGCAACCATTCGCGCTCCAGCAGCAACAACTTTTATTATTCGTGTACTTAAAAATTTTTTTCTGGAAACTAAGAACGCAAAGTTGTGAATAAGGTTAGGTAACTACAGACAAAAAATTCGCGCTCATTGAGTAAAATCACTTTTAATACGAATTTTGAGTAGAAATCAAGTCGAGCGGGAGCTATTAGTTGGGAATAGAACATTATTTTCTATTGAAAAGCAAAGCAAACTATATATATATATATATATATATATATATATATATAAGTAAAAGTCGAAACAAACATTAATAAAACTCAATTATGAAATACAAGTACTGACTAAGTAAGGCAAAGCACAAGTAGCTGATAATAAACAATAAAAAAAAAACGAAATTAAATTTACTTGCACTTAAATAAGTATTCCATTTAGTATGAGAAATAATTTTATAACAAAATTCATTTATTAGAACAAATAGTAGTAAAGTTACAGCAGGAAGATTATGAATTATCCTCTCTGACAGCTCATGAAACTCATTCAGCGGCTTTTCACAAAAGTAAAAGCTTGCGGTGAAAACACTTTCCCGCCAGAAATTCAGTTTCATAGACTTGGGGTTGACTTTTTGGCAAAACATCGATTGAGATAGTTTTTTCGAAAATCGGTACCGAGCTTTTTGAGTAGCTTTCTCTGATTCTTTCAACAGTAACAGCTTCCGGCAAAAACACTGCGCGCATCGGTAATGCCGCTATTACAGCGCTCAGTTAGAGAATCGTTTGATGGGATTCAACAAATTATAGGCTAATAAAAAATATCGAAATTGTCGTTGTGAATATGCTCCTCCAGACCACTTTTTGAAAAAAATTTTACAAACAAGAGTACCATTTTTGGAAAATCGAATGCTGGTTTTGAATACGCAAAAGCTTGTAGAATCAAGTGCAAATCATAAAAATAAAATTTGTAATTCAAAAAATACAAAAAAAGAGAGATACAGTTGAAAAATGCCATCCAGCGACTTTTCACAAAAGTTACGACTTCGGTAAATTCATTTTACATTCAGCATTTGATTGTATCGGGTTCTACATGCTTCGTCCTTTTTCGAAAATCGGTTGGGCGCTGGGTTTTTCCAAAAGGATAATGTCGGTATTTTCTAAATAAAATTGACATTTAAATGTTTTTCCACAAAAACCACATATTTTCGAAAAGCTCAAGAATCTTTACGTCATCCAAGACCAAAACGAAAGTTATCGGCCGATATTAAATATGCCAATTATTGTTGTGAATATGCTGCATTAAACCACCTGTTAGAATATTAAAAAAAAAATAAATAAAATAAAAACGGGTTGAAGCTGGTTCTAGTACCCGGTTTGACAGCTTTGACATTTACAGAAATTTATTTTCAACGCCACCATCCAGTCTTTTTTAACCGACTTCACAAAAAGGAGATGGTTATCAATTTGTCGGAATATTTTTTTATTTTATTGAGGTCGGTTTTGTTTTTCGCTTAAAAATTATTTGTTTATTCCGCAACACGTTCGTTCAGTCACACAGTCGTATTTCTCCTGCTAAAATCTATTTAAAGTGAGAAAAAAATATACAATGCAATTACTAATAAAACTTTAGCACATTATATACATGCAGTTACATTCGTGCATAAATAAGCTTAAAAATAAGAATAATCGGAAAAAGGTACTAAATACATACATACACATGTGTTGTTAATTAGCTGCTTAAAGTACAGATAAGTTATATGTGTGAATATTAAAAAAATTAGCAAATATGCGACAAACAACGCTATACATAGTGATCCAAAAAAGAGAAAATTTTTTTGTTTTCTTTTTTATAAGTAAATATTTGTATAGTCAAACTAATATAAAAGAATCCATAGTAATCTAAAACATCGCCTTTTTAAAAAAATATATATTATTGACATCAAAATGTATGGAAATACATATTCTTACATAGCATATTTTAAAATTTTCAAATAAATATTCAATCAAATTCGTAATGTTGCGAATTTGATACACCGATATTTTTTAACAAACGGTCGATGATTTTATAAAAATAATAAATGACATAAGTAGTCGATTTTTATTGTCGAAATTTTTTAATTTTGACATCCGATATTTTAACAAAAATCGAATATTTATTTAAAAGATTTATTATAAATATAAAATAGTAACCGATCAGTTATTAAGAAATATATATTATTGAAAAAAAAATTTGATAAATCGGTAAATCTAACCCCTATACTATGTTCGTATTTTTTTTGATATGTAAAAAATCAACGGTAAAATGAGTTAAAGTGAAAGTACATAACGTCCATTGCGTCCCCGTCACCGTCAATATCAGCGCCTACGTTGCTCATGCGTCAAGTTGCACACTATCCGTTTACCATTGCGTCCGTAAAATCAAAAACTCTGCTGCTCTTTGCAAAAATTGTGTTTCACATTTCGTTTAGCCAAAGAACGTCAATCTATAAGAGGAGACAACACGTTATAATTGTAGCGAGTGTGAATATCAGGAGCGTGCCTTCTCTTTTCATCCAACCACAAAACGTATCTGGGTAAAAGAGAAAGCACGCTCCTGATGTTCCCACTCGTTACAATTATAACGTGTTGTCTCTTCTTATAGATTTACGTTCTTTGGTTTAGCATGTGAGCCGTTTATTTTGAAAGTGGCATAGGTCACATTTTCAAAAAAAAAATCGAATTAATGATAACACCAATTAGAATTTAACGGTATCTGTTAATTAAAAAAAAAATGCATTTACTGAGAACTACTGCGGTTTTGTTCGAGAGAAGTTTTACTAATCAGCGGCACTCAAAAAAATCAAGTCAATGATAACATGGATTACACCGAACAAAAGTCAATTTTGCAAAAAAAAAAATCATACATACTCCCAAAACTAGGAGTCGAATATAGGAAAACTGCGTTGTTAGTTTTTTGTTTTCTCTTGCGTCAGGACTTTTTTAAAGGACTTTGAAATTTCAAAAAATTCAGTGTTATATAGAATAACACTCAACCAGAATAACCGTCAACTTTTAGCATGTAAATTACTTCATACAAATGTAGCGATCCAACTTTTTTGACAACTGACGGTGACGGTGAAGTGTACTTTCACTTTTACTTTATTACAACTGGCGATAATTTCGACAAGAGCTGTCGATTGCATATTGAAACTGTGTATTATATTTTAAAAATCTCGGCTATTTGTTATCGATAAATACATATATTTCAGCCATAGATAATACTTGCAATACTATTTTATTGTTCATGAGGCTGTTCATGAGCATCTTATTTTTATCGAAATTGGTTTATGAAAATAGTTTTAATTCATTTATCATCCATAGAATAACCAGAGCGATGAGTAAAAAATTTATGCAAAATTCAACACTTGTAATGTTGGCAATTTGAAACGAAATTGATAATATACATACATATATACATATATGTATATTTACAGCAGATCGTATATATATAGTATCGTTATTTATATACCCCTGAAATTGTTATATACATACAAACAAAGAATGCAGTTATATATACCTACTTCCATACATATGTGTATATGTATATAATTATATATATTTACAGCTTTATGTAAAGAAAGAATACAAAAGAATCTGAAAAAAGTGAAATTTTAAAATTTAAGGAAGAAATATTAGAAAAACTACCGCAACAATTATACTAATTAAAAAAGTTAGAATTTTTAACAAGCGAATACTTAAAAATGTAAGTTAAAATTAATAAAAAAAAAACATGAAAAATGAACTCTAACTCAAAATTTGCATAAATTTCATGTATCTTCCTGCGATTGTCAATACTAATTATTAAAATAAATATAGGTATCAAAAAAAATATATATATAATTACATGTAGATTATTTCATTAAAATTTAGCGTAAACAAATTCAAAACAAGTATATACACACATACTTACATATGTACATTAATAAATTGTGCAAGTACGTACATAATTGGTACTGCGGATAACTTCCGTTTTTTTTTGTCTGAAGAAAAATAAAAAACGTATAAAATATTTAATAAAAAATCACAAACGTAGTTATATACAATTATATACATACAGAAAACGTGCGTGTATAAATATTTACTTATATGTACATATGGGCGTGCATACAATTTTGTATATGGGGCTTCCATACCAAAATGGACGGGGTTCACACTTCATGTGCTTGCTTTGTTTAAAATTTTTAAGGGTAGGTAGGACAAACATAAATAATAAATAAATGTGAAATTTAGGTTTGATTAATAAATTTTTAAAAACTTTACACAAAAAGAAAAAACAATCGATTTAATACCCAGCCAGCGAAAAATCCGCAAACCGATCCGAAAACGGAAAAAGTCGATGAAAACCGGATTTTTGTCCGTTTACCGATTCCATTTCCGGATACTTTAATCATCCGTTTTCCCACTAAAGTGTGCAGCAGAAACGTATGTACAGAAAAGTACCGAAAATGGTGGTGAAAAAGATACGTTTTCGGCTGTTTTTTTTTCTGAAATTTGACTGATTGAATTTTTCGTTCAATACGCTTTCCTTCTGCACTTCACATGTGACTTTTTCATGGTTCAAAAGAAATAAAATAAAATTAGGAAGCGCCTGACGGAATTCGAACCCGGCACCTTCTGGAAGCTAACAAATAGCGGCACACTCCTCTGCACGCTCAGCCACTGCCGACTACGCATGAATGCTTTCAAATGTTTAGCTTGAGCAAATAAAATATAATTATTCCTTTAAAATGACATCACTTCTTTCCAACGTTTTGAACGTTTTCTGGATACGAAAATTGATGAAAGCTGTACGAGTTCTTTCTATGCGTTTTCGCATACAGAAAATTGAACTAAACTGCACTGTCGGCAAAATTGCTGGCTGGGTAGTTTTCCAAATATCCCGGGAACGGGGCGAGAAAAAATTAAAAAAAAATCGCACATACACACATCAAAATTCTCTATGAAAAGAAATATTCTTAATTTTTTTTCTTGAAAAATTTTTCGCATACAAATTTTTTGTTAAAAAAAACATTTATTTGTGAAAATATACCATCTCAAAAAAGAATTAAAAAAAATCGCAATGGTAGCTCTGAGTAAGTTTACGGAGTTCACTCTACAATAATTTGAGTTATGATTTTTTTTTACACCGAAGTTTAGTAAAATGAGTTCTTTACAAATTTAAAATTTTTTAAATTTTTTTTTAGAATTGCACTTGCACTTTATTATACTAAACTTTCATGGGCTACAAAACTGCATACTCAAAAAAATTCAAAAAATAAAATATAAAAAAATTGTAAATTTGGAATGTATGTACCCATTTTACTCAACTTCGGTGTAAAAAAATCATAACTCAAATTATTGTAGAGTGCATCCCATAATACTATACTTAACTATTGCAAAATACTCAGAGCTACCATTGTAAGTTTTTTTTTGTTTTTTTTTTTGAGAAGGCATATTTTCAAAAACCATTTTTTTTAACAAAAAAATTTTTATGTAAAAAATATTTTTTTCATAGAGAATTTGGATGTGTGTATTTTTTCAAATTTTTTCCCCGCCCTGTTCTCGATTTATTGAAAAACTATTACATCGATTTGTTTTTGTTTTTGAGCTGTAAAGTTTTTAAAAATTTATTTATCAAGCTCAAATTTCATATTTATTATTTATGTTTTCCATCTACCCTAAAAATTTGAAACACATTGTACAAAAAATTTATGAGAAATTCGCGCTTGAAGCTCTTTAGACAAAAATACACCGGTCGTACGATCTTTTTGCAGTCGAAGTATCGCCCAACTGCCAGCAGAAGAACTCACTCACTTTTCACATTTTTCTGAATTTATGTGCGCAACTTTCAACCATCAAGTCGATTTGCTACAATCAGAAATTTCTTCCAGATCAACAATTTTCGGGCACATTTTGTAAAAAAATGTTTAATACAAATTTTGTAGAAAAACATGTGAAAAATCGCGCCTCAAGTCTTTCTTTCAGCCCAAAAAATTTATATAAAGATTTGCTGTAGAAGCATTTTTAGGTCTTCAAAAGATAGCTTCAGGCATGCTCTATAGACCCACAATTTTTTATAAAAATTGAACAAAAACTTTTTGATAAATTAGCGTTTGAAGTTTTTAAGACAAAAATACACCGGTCGTACGACCTTTTTGCAATCGAAGTATCGCCCAACTGCCATCAGCCACTTTCAACCATCAGATGGATTTGCTACGGTCAGGAATTTCTTCTAGATCAACAATTTTCGGACACATTTTGTAAAAAATATTTAATACAGATTTTATAGAAAAAAATATGGAAAATCGCGCCTCAAGTCTAACTTTCAGCCCAGAAAATGTATATAAAGAATTGGTGTAGAAACATTTTCCGGCGATCGGCCGTTTCAGGCAAGTTCAGTTTGGGGCTAAAATGTGTCATGTCAACTAGGCGAGCAAAATTGCGTTGCAAGCGGCAACGGAAGAATTTTCTCCTTAGCTGGTTTGTTTCAAACGCAGTGGCCTGTGTCACCTGTGTACCTGGAAGAAAATGAAAGTTGAAAGAGTTTATTTTCAAGAAGAGAGTTAAAATTTGAAGGCATAAATAACACAGGTCAACAAAATTTAACTTTTTTTTGATGCAAAAATACCAATAAATATTTTCGAAGGCTTTTGGTGCGGTGAATATGAAACGGGCCGTAGAATTGTTATATCACGTCAGATTTTTGAGCTATCCTAAACTAAATGTGCAAAAAACCCTGCGTCATATTTGAGGGTATGTATGTATCATCGAAAAGTATTTTTTTTTTACAGAAAACTAGTCAAAGCATCATAAGACACAAATCTTCCCCTTTCGAATGCGATTGAGTATGATAACGGGTGATTTTTTTGAGGTTAGGATTTTCATGCATTAGTAT